GCCCCCATGGCTGAAAGGGCGAGCACGTTTGGTGGGCCGAACCTGCGACCTTCAGATTATGAGTCGAGCGCCCTAACCACCTGGCCATGCCGGGCCCAAGGCTAGTGATGATAAAAAACATTTGCATACAGGGAGCAGCACTGAATTGGAAAAACTATGTATGAGCAAACGTTACTTTGGCTAGTACCTTTAGCTCTCTCTCTCTGTAAATTTAATCTATATATACAGAGAAATTTTGTTCCTTAAAAATGCATATTTCTAAACTTTGTAACTCAATGATTACACTTTTTTAACATATGGGTGAAAGTAAGATACAAAGAAAAGCATTATCAAAATGTAAAATGATCTATATATTAACACCAAATAATGAAACACATATCCATAATTAGCTATATGTTCAAACAAAACTTTCATAATATGGTAAAACACAAACATTTCCATAAGAACTTCTTATAATGAAGATCATTTTAAAATTCTGTACTAAAATACTTTTGACATTGAGTTCGAAGTATTTTAAAGTTCTATATAGAATAAAACACTTTGTCCTATGGATTTGAAAGTTAATGTTCGAAAGTTTGTGAGTTAATTAGTTAAAATTCTGTTTAGAATAAAACACCTTGTCAAACGAATTTGAAAGTTAAAGTTCAAATTCTTGAGATTTAGTTAGTTAAAGTTCTATATAGAATAAAACACTATTGTCCTTGGATCCAATTGATAAGTTGTGCATGGATACAAAAACTATTTAAGAACTGTATGAAACAATAAAAAAGAAAATTTCGAATTAAAATTCTACATGTTGCATACGACACTACAGACATTGTATTAAAAGTTAATATCTTCTTAAATTAAAAACGTGTTTCTAATAATATTTACTTCATTTCACACTACAGCTATTACTCGACTGTTAGGGGTTCCTTCATTTGCCCATCTAAGCATTAGTCTGATTTTTTCTTGCTTGCGCCAGTCTTTTCATCCCACTCAATAGCCCTTGGCGATATCGGTTTTGTGATACTCTACACCTACATCAGTGCATCCACTATCCTAGTAGTGTATATAAGCACCTCATTCAGAATATGTTATCAATTTTCGAGACTGATCCAATCCCAGTCTATAACAACGGCTCTTAGTGGGGAGGAAAGGCGGAAG